TGAAGTGCCACCAGGGACCACTCCCTCCTCCTCAGTATGGGCCTGAAGACTGCCAGAGGGTGGCCAAGTGGTTGAGAAACCCTAACTAAACTGCAGTCGTTTTTATGTTACACTTTTGTTCACCCTACTCACCTCGAAATAAACACTGTTCCAACCAACGCTGTTCTCCCCTACTGTAAACCAGACCAGTAGAAGAAAAAAAAATATGCATTATGACAATGTAAACTGTCAACTAAGTAGATTCATTCACTGAGATTCTTTTCCCCCTGTTTAGTAATCAAGTTTAATTGATTAATCGAGCCTTTGATGAGATCCTGATACAGACAGAGAGTGCCAGGATAAGAGAGTGAGTGAAATAGAGGAAATGAGACACAGAACAAGAGATACTTAGTTAAAGAACAAAGAGACGAAAGAGACTGTATGTAATACGAAGCCCAACTAGCGTACAAGTACAGACACTTTCACAGCTTAGTCCAAAGCTGCAGCAGGAAGACGATGAGAGGATGTGTGTGTGTTTTCATGTGTGCTTTAGGCTGCAGCAGCCAGGCATACTAAAACCGCACGGTGGACAGGCCTGCCGGTAACCATGACGACCCCTGTGCATTTCTGAATGGTAGTGAAAGAAGCTTGAACCATTAAGAGACAAGCAGCTCCACTTACCTCTGAGGACACCCCCCACCCTTCTCCCTCTCACAGACACACTTCTCTAACTCAGTACAGCCCAAAGGGGGTGGGCATGGGAGGTCCTGGTAGTTTGAGTGGTTACTATGGAAACTACAGAGGAAGAGCCCACCGAGGGAAAAAACAAAACCGAAAAGCAATAAAAGGAACAACCTTCGATCACCCCAGGAAACACTGTCTGCTTTTATGCAAACACAACAGCATTACTAGCTAAACATGAATTATTTGTAGCCAAAGTACTTGCAGACACTGAAATCCGTTCAGTCTTGAAAGCAGCATTCATGCCTCTGACAGAAAACAGTAATTTCAGTCTATAGGTTCAGCAGAAACAGTACAGTAGTAAACAGTGTTCTCTATGAATGAAACGGATGAGTCACTGAGAGAGAGAGTGAGTAATGCTGAGGCTGCTCAAGCCCAGATTGTGATTGTGGAGGCTGTTTAAGGGGCTTTGGCTTTTGTGTCTGAGTGTGTGTTGTGATCATCCTTCTTCTGACTATGTAAATTCAGTTTCTTACTCCGTGCGGAAAAAGGGGAGCAACTGGGAGCTAAAACCTACACCAGATATGAAGAAGCCTTATAATTATTGGCCTAAAGCAGTGAAAAACCCAGATTTATTTTCCTCAACATGGAACTTGCCTTTACAGAGCAGGACTTAGGTTGGAAACAAGCTGGAGTGCTCCCTTAGGATTGTTTTAATATGCCCTTCATATTTTGAGTGTGGCTGTGGATATACACCCACCAGCCACTTTACTAGAAACATCAAGTGGTAAACAGTAACAGTGTACTTTGTTACTGTACTTAGGTTATTTTTTATTTTAAGTATCTGGACTTACAGTATTTTCATTTTTTGTATTTTTACTACATTGCAAAGTAACAAATATTTTACTTTTTACTGCATTACTTTTCACATGGTTATTCAGAAGAAACTTGATGTCAGATGCTTCAAAGCAAACCATTTAGGGCACACTTTTCTCTAAACTCCTCCCTTAATTACTGATTGTCCAGTCATACTTTAGCAACTTTAAAAACGCCTGTACACCTATGACTCGCTTTAAGTTTATGTAGTAGTGTTGTGTGGGGGTATTTTTATATCACACAGACGATATTCTAGTAGTGTGGAGGGAAGAGTGATTATTTTGTAAATAACATTTTCCATGTTATTCTGTAATTGCTATAATAACTCACAGTACTTTTAGTTTTTATACTTAAGCACATTTAAAAGCAAGTGGTTTTTGTACTTCAATTTAAGTACAAATTGCTGATGCACTGAAATGAAAATGTCAGGCCAAATCCAAAAAGCGGAAGAAATCTTTGCTATTTTAGCTGAATAAAGATAACTACAGAATAACAATAAAAAATACACTAATTAACAATCAAATCTGTTTTCAATAGGACAAAACTAAGCAGACAATAAAACAATTTATATAAAATAACAGTATGTAGGCTACAGCGTGTGCCACAACATCCTTAACATCAACAATGGAGAACGTTTGGTGATCCACGTAATGACTTCCATTATTTTTTGGTATACATCAAACCCTGAGGCTACATGTGGCATTGACATGCAAGCAGGGACTTTCCTTTCTGCTTCTGTTTTGCTGTATTCTGCATATCGAGCAGGACATGATCAGAACAGAACAGAACATAAACATTTTTTCCCCACTGTAGCGTTTTTATTCAGTTTCTCGTTTTCACCATCATTCAAATTATTTAGTAAGTTAAAATTGGACACTTCATTGTAGTCCCATTTAATTGGGAATTGGGATTTTTGGGACAAAATTTTAAGCCTAGCTCATTCATCACTGGTCAATTTCTGACCAGAGGACAGATGTTGACTAGATATTACGTGGATGGTAGACCATTCTCAGCACAGCAGTGACATTGACATGTTAGTGCTTACAATGGCATGTATGATGTTGGTATAAGTGTATCAGGCACAGGAGCACTGTTGTATCAGTGTCACTTCTAGGGTCAGAGTGGTTCACCACCAAAAAAATTCAGGCAAGCTCTGAGGTCAGAAACTGACTAATAAAAGGTCAGATGGTTAACATAAATTTTCCATCAACAGGTGGTCTACAGTCTCTCTGCACACCAGCACGTTGGATCCACAAGGGAAGGGTTTCTGATAAAGTGAACAGTGAGTGTATATCACCGTTATATTAAAATCTTTTATATTTCTTTTGAACCAAGTGCGACAAATAATAAAAAAGCTGGTTTCTTTTCGTCTCCTCTAAAGTTATCTTTTTGGAGGTTTTGTTATGACAGCAACAATGTATGATGAAATATATCTAGCCTATAAAGCCTGTCCAGAGCTAGTCATGATAGCATTACTGAACAGGAAAATCACTGCAAGGATTTCAAACTGCCCAACTGAATGCTGATAAATGGTCTTCTTTCTTCCAGATCAGACGACAATAGGCTAATAAATGGCCATATGTGGATCTGTGTATTCAGTGATAGCACAGACGCCCTGATGCCTCTCTCACTCTAAGCACAATGAAAGCGTCATCACGTCCTCCTTTCTTGCCTGGTGTGGCATTAATTGCCCATTATGAGGGCAATCTAAGTCATCAGCTGAGACTTCTCATACTGATGAGCTAAAACCCAGAGTAGAGATCAATAACAGCCTCTTCACACTCTTCTTCCTCTCACCCAGGACCCTACCCAACCACCAATGGACCAGAAATTAAACTATACTGCGTATGGTGATCAACAAATACATGTTTGTCATTTTAGTGCATTTTTAATCAATATAATTATCATACTTGTGTTTTAACTCTGTCCTTTGGAAACAAAAGGGTTAAATTTTTGAAACGGTCAATGGAAAATGACCCAGTCAGGATTTTTGTCAGTGGTAACTAAGCAGATACAGCCAAATAAGCTCTCCCATTGCTTATGACTAAGGAGATTAGCTACTACCTTAATAAGAACTGACAGTGAGGTCAACCACACACATTTTGATTTTTTTGAAAGGGGGAAAACTCCCTAGGCCCTAAGTTCTTCATCCTGACAGCAAGTATGAATGGTAGTCTGACAAACATTAGGAACTTGTAAGAATTGCAAAACAGCAACAGTCTCACAGAAAGAGTTCTTGCAAACCTGCAGCTGTGTGTAAAAGTTTGATTATCACTGGGCAAATGACAATTTTTTATTTTTTTAAGTGAAAACAAGTAAACACAGTCTCTGGGGCAAACTATTTTAAAAACAATCTTTTTCTACAAATATTAATGCACACTTATTTTATATATTTGATTAACAGAAAAAAATTACAGTAATTGTAGCATGCATAAATGTTAGGACAAATTGTAAAGTCTCAGAAATTTAGTTATTAGCCCAATCTGGAATTGTCAAAAGTTGTCTGACTCCTAAAACCTTGTGCTAACACTTAACATTGGGCTCCTCTAAGCAGTTGGCTGAGGTTCTAAATTTAAGGTAACTGATACTTTAAAAGCCGAGAAAGAGATATTAAACGTGGGACATAAACATGATCTGCATGTAAGAGTCATCAGACGTTCATGTGAATCACTGTTAGCTTAGCGCTAACATACTGTCAGAATCCCATAGGGGTTCTAACATAAATTAGCCTTATTGCAGAGGTGTTTTTTTAGTTTTGACATTATTATGATGATGATGATTATGATGGACAACAACACCATTCTTCTTCTTCTTCTTCTTCTTATTATTATTATTATTATTATTATTATTATGTTTAAAAGATATTTAGTAAAAAAATAAGGTACAGAAGGAAAAAAAACTAATTTTATATAATAAAATAGAAAACACATTGACTGAAACAAAAGTGTAAAATTTGGTAAGTGAAAATAAAATAGAAAAGAAGTATAAAGATTAATGTGTAATAAGTGAGGAAACTGCTTATGTGAGAGAACTTCCACTGCGACAGTGCTTGTTTCTCAGTGAGAGCTTTGGGTATTTACTGTATACAGAATCAATTGTTCGCTAGGTGGTTATTAAGTCATTATGCTCTTGTCTTAATCGTAAAAGCAGATCTATGCACAGACTCAATAACTAGAGCATGCTGCGGCTATGGCAGATCATTCATAAATCTGAATTAGCAAACAATTCTGTGTGATCTGATGCTGTTACTTATTGACATTTAGTGCACTTAGCATTCAAATTTTGATAATTAACTTAGACTTGTTAGTTACCAGAGCTAGACGGCTCCAATGCATGCTTTGAGCATTAAAGCGGTAGGAATCCCATTACGTACAATCAGACACCCTTTTTCAACGATTTTATGGGTTGCTATAGCAACATTCTTTCAAGTGATGCCTAGATGAGGGCAAAGCTTTCTCACTTACTTTATTTTTTTGTTTCCTGTGGGAGAGAGAGCACTACACCCTCATTACAACCACACACTGCTTTCAGACGGTGCGTAAACAGACCGGCAAAATACCTCCTCCTCACCATCAGCAGCCCTGGAGTGACCTGAGGAAGGGAGGTGAGAGAGCGTAACATGCAGGAGAGAAAACGAGAGCGCGTAAACTGGCACAAGGAGCAGTCATTAAGTATTTAGATAGCTAGAAGTGAGCAGGCCAGTGGAGGCCTATAAAAGATGTAGAGAGCAGAGAGTCTCTGAACTCATTACTTCAGCTGATCATATTTCCGCCTCTGCTCTGTGCACTGCCACTGTGCTCTCAGGAAGGAGATCACATTCGGGATCAGGAGCAGAAGATCCAGACACAGAGCCAGTCTTTACGCACAGATCACATTCATACTGGATCTGCAGCTGAAGTGGATTTTAATACTTGAGAGGCAAAACAGCTATTACACACTGTATTACTGCTGTTAAAAATACCCTCAATCAAGAAAAGGGTACTTGAAAATTCTGTCAATACAGTGAAAAAATTTAACTTAAATTTTACTTACTTCTCAAAATAAAACAGATCTGGTTCTGTAAATTGCCTTATAATCTTAGAAACAGTAAATAATTAAAAAATATTACAGTATTAAATTTAAAAGTATGTGGCTAGATTTAGGCAACAATAATTTAACCTGGTGTCATTCATAATCTAAAACAGAGCTGCATGATACTGACATGAAATGCGATGTTTGATAAAGCTGTTGGATATCAGTGACAATATGGGAAGCGATAAATTACTATTAAAATAATGTGTTTCTGACTGGATGTAATGCAAGTGCAGATATTTTTTGGGATGTGTAAACAGAAATCTAACCAACCTCTCTTTACACCCCTCTTTAAACAAATGACAAAATACAAAATTACAAAAGCACCATTAATAACATCAAATACTAACAACTACTTACATCAGAACTGCACGCACATTTTTTTGGGCACTGAAGGGCTGAGAAACAGTCAGCATTACCTCAACAGCTTTTTCTATAAAGGCTACAAAACCAAATAATTATTTTTTTATATATAGACACAAGAACAAATACATTTTGTTGTTTCATTTTATTTATTTATTTTTTGTTATTCAATACTGTGATATCAGACACGTCAGGTTGTATTTAGTTTTAACATTGTTCATGCTTTTGGTTGAGTGTAGTCAGTCGTATTCTTAGTCTGTCCGGGACTCTTGTTTTGAAGGACTCTGGGGGGGGATTAGGGTCATTGCTGCACTAACGATGTGTTCATCACGAAAACGCATATTGCAATAACAATAAAAACGCTAATTATCATGCAGCCGTAACATAAAATAGGCAAAAATTAGCATATGAATCAGGTTTTAAGCATTTTCTTAAAGCTCCATTTGGTACAAAATCAGATTTAAAACCTGATGCTTGCCTACAAAGCCAAAAACGGACCAGCCCCTCCCTACCTAATGGCAATGGTCAAAACTCAAACTGTACTCAAGCCCTTCGAGCTTCAAGTACAGCTCGGCCGCCATACCTCAAGATGCGTGGAAGACAAGCATCAAGACTTTTCTCTGTACTGGCACCCAGGTGGTGGAATGAACTCCCACTGGCTGTTCGAACAGCTGAGTCTCTCACGGTCTTCAAACGCAGACTGAAGACTTCTCTTTATACAGCACTTAAATGAGCACTGAGTTAAGTATTTATTGAAATGTACTGCACTGCGCTGTGTTTAACTCTGCTTCTTCTTCTCTAAGTATCAACATGGGCTTCTGTTTCTAGCAGTATATGAGTCCAGGACTGGCTTTCTCTCTAACCTTTATGTAACTAGCAAAGATACTTTCTCTGAGTACACAACAAAGCACTTTGTAAGTCACTCTGGATAAGAGCATCTCCTAAATGTTGTAAATGTGCAAACATTTTCTTGAAGTGAGCTCAATGTTAGGGAGGTTTTCCCTTTAAATAAACAAAGATGTCTTTAAAATGGTTATAAAGGAATTGTTCATCAAAAAAATCTAATTTACATGACTTTCTACTTAACCCAAAAACGCAGCCTATCAGCCAAGACATGTTTGGTGTCCAGCAGCCAAACTACAGAAAATTCTTAAGTCTGAGATCATATCTTATCTGCTTTGTTGCCATGGCAACGTCAGTTAAGACTGAATTTAGGACAGAAGCCATTACAGAACAATAGTTCTTAAGTCTATAATCTTATCTTATTTCCAGATAAGAAAACAGTATTACAGAAACATCCTTAGTTGCCAAAATAGTCTAAATATTTTCTTAACTTTAAGATAAACCCCAGAGCATCTTAACATCTGTTTTAACCATCTGTTTCTATTGTTTTATGCAGTGATAGGCAGCACAGTTCGCTATAAGTAGCATAATGACGCTACCTCTATGTGCATTGAAAACGGTGCTTTGACTTTTTTTTTTTTAAACAGCATTTTTTAAAAACTCAGGCGCTGCACACAAAAACTCATTAGAAACAATAGTGTTTATTAGGAGGAATAACGTTAGCGCGCTCAGCTAAAGCGTTTTTGTATTGTAACAAAGTCGAGAGCACCAACGCTCTGATAAACAGCATGAAGCACAGAAACAATATTCTTAACTTTCAGTTTATCGCGCTTTAGTTCTATCTGACCTTTATTTACATCAGTAACGGTAGCTAACGTTAGCTGTCTGGCTAACTAACTTGATTACATGTTTACGTTTCAGCTGTAATACGGCCCCAGGTGTTGCTTCTTTAGCTGCTAGTGTGTGTAACGGTGCAAATGAAAACTGTAAGTAAGTAGTCACCAAAACAGTTTTCATATGTTTACTTCAAATTACATCAAAAAGCTACGTCAGCATTTCCCAACTTTTTCTCTGCCTTTGTTGTGCTCACAGTCCTGTGTTGTGTTTAGTCTAAACTAAACCATACATGACTGGGCTGATCAACTGCTTTTGGAGTAAGTGGACAATCATGTGAGTGTGGAAACACAGTGACACTCCAAAAAAATGTAACAAGCAAGAAAATCTTCAAAATGAACCAGAGATTTTGTTTTAAGATTAACTGCCTAGATTATTTTTGCATGTAAAAAAGGAACCAAGAAGTGTGAAAAGTTTTGAAGCTCTTCTCTACAGAAGAAATTTGAATGCAATGTTTTGGGTTTTTTAAAAACTTAAAAATTGTAAAATACGAATTTATTTTTTCTTTCCCCACAGTAGAGTTTCAAACTGTTTCAGTTCTTTAAAAAAAGTTTCTCATTTCATTTTAAGAAGTCTGCATAATCAGCTAATTTCTCTAAATAAGGGTAGACAAAGTTTGTAAAATCTGATTAATCTTAAATAAAAATATACAAGATTTTCTGATTTAAGATTGCAGTTTTTGCAGCGCAATCAGGGCCAGTGGTGATGAATTTCATAACAGAATCTATAAATCAGATCAACAGCCATCACTTATCACTGGAGAATCAGCACTAAACACCCACAAAAAGTGATGGAAAGAGGATTCAGAAACTTGTTTGCTCCAGCAGAAGTACAGTTTTGCCTATGAGACACATCTTGGGTATGAAACAAAAATCATTTTATATTATCATTTTATATAATTTTAATAGTCAAGAAAAAAGCAGTTCTAATTACTGTTAGACTGGAAATTAAACTATGCGAGAATTAAGTCTTTAAACCCTGGCACTGTAAATACTGGACACCCTATAAAATGTAACTGAGCACTGCTGAACAAAAGCAGCAGGAAAGTACTAAAGTACTAATATACACAATGACCTTTTTGAAAGCCGTAACATCTTAGCAGAGCAATGGAAAGCAGTAATTATTTGCAGTTATATGAGAAATTTGGATGAAATTCAAAGCACTTACTTCCAAGCATAGTTCATTCTTACATCTTCCTGACTGATTCTCTTTCGAATGCACATTTGGCCCATTCATGGTTATTCTCCACTACTTATATTCAATTCTATTTTATTACAGGCACCGTTCCAGTGTCCCCGTTTCCATGTCTCTAATGATCAAGCTGAGGGTGACGGCACCAGTAAAACTCCTTAAGAGCACGAAAAAGAAACAGAGAGGAAAAAAATCCTTTGAGTCGCACCTGACAGTGGTCAAATAGAAAGAGTGCAGAACTAAGACTAAACAGTGACACTTGGATTATAAAGAGGAAGCATCTGTGGGACAAGCTAGTGAACAAGCTAAAAAGTCTATCAGAATCAGACTGTATTATGTTTTCCTTTTTCATGTTATCCATCATTTTCCCTTTCTAATTCACCATATAACTGCTGCAGTGTAACTGCCTTTCCTGTCAGGACTACAAACTAGTCAAACACAAGGCACTTGAAAATATAAAAGATCAATATGCTGAAAAAAAAGAAATATGAAGAGAACAAACAGGGCTTTGAATGCAACTCCAGCACCAGCATAAGTCAATATAAAGCTGCTTTTTGATAGCTTGCGTTATGTTTCAGAGAGCTGTAGACTTCAGTGATTTCACTGTCAGGTGAGATAATCTTAAATCTTATAACTATCAAATATTTCCCATAAGGAGGCTGCTTTAAGAATATTATAAGATTTTTATTTCTACCTGTTCAAGGCACTTTTTATTTGGTCTCTTATTCCACTAGCAATAAATTTAGCTATTTTATGAAACATTATGGCAACACTTTATAATATCAGGCCAAAATAAACAGCAACTTAATAGTTATCTAAGTTTTGTAATGGTTTAATAATTACATAATAGCTACATATGTATTAATAAATTATACCATTTACATTATTAACCATTTTCTTACTGACATACAAACCATCAATCATCATATGGAATTGTAATTTATATTCATAATGCACAAATTATAACATACATTAAGCAGAATACCACTTTAGAATAAGACCACCCCTATAAAGTATTTATGAATGACTTACAATGATTTTATTAATTAGGTCATAAACACCTTAAAATTCATTAATAAACAGTCGTAACAATAAAAAGGGCAGCAGCGAGCTGTTATATCTGATGAATATGAATATCTGATAGATTTAATGCTGACTGATGGAAAAGACAGAGAGAAGATCAGTAACCAGCGAGATCTGATGTGTAACACAGACGAATGGTCACTCAA